AGGATTCTGGTTCCTGGATCAGTTGTCTCTGATGTAAATAAATAAATGACCAGGCACTTTGGTGTTTAGACATCTGTCTCAAGATTGTTTAACGTGAATATGCCCACAGAAAAAATTTGCTCTTGGGATTTACTGTCTTAACCAAGGGCAGCCCCTAGCTTATGGCAAATTCACAATCATCTGTCAATTCCTACCACTCCTATCCCCACCCCCACCCCCAAAACAGACAGGAGCAAATAAGAGAAATGCTAACACTGTGCCCAACAATCTAATAAAATTAAGCATGTCTAAGATTTGATACACTGCACACCTGCCAAGTCAGTTAGCTGTTCACACTCTCTGATTAGGAGCAAAATTTATCAAGTTTGAGCAGACTATTGAATTCTGAGGTGCTTCAAGACACATTGTTATTGACCATAAATGCTAAGTTATATAGACTTCAGAAGACTTCTTTAGTTATTGTCTAAAAAAATAGGTATATTCATATTTGTTTGGTATTTTCATAAGGAAATATTAGAAGCCTGCCCTAGAAACTAATCGGTATTAGGGAAGATAGGATAGAGGCAGGAATAGGAATGATACTTTCTGTGCAAAACCCTTTAAATCATTTTGAGTTTTGCACCACAGGAATATATTACCTATTCAAATGAAGAAAAAGTAACATCTATGGGGTGCCTGGGTGGCTCAGTTGGTTGAGCATATGACTTTTGATTTCAGCTCAGGTCATGATCTCATGGTCATGAGATCAAGCTCTGTATTGGGCTCTGTGCTGATGACACGGAGCCTGCTTGGGATTCTCTGTCTCCCTCTCTCTCTGCCCTTTCCCTGCTCATTCTCTCTCTCTCTCCCTCTCGATCTCTCAGAATAAATAAATAAGTTTAAAAAAAGATTTAAGAAAAAGTAATGTCTATATCTATATGGAGACCTGTACCTGTTGGAAGATTTTTGCATGAGGCACAATGTCATGCCGCAAGTTTGATTTTCTCTGTGTCCTCATCAGGGGATAAAATCAGATCCCTCTGTAGACCAAGGACTCATAGGGATTAATATGTGTAAAACAGCATCTTCTAGTTTCTGTATTTGATGCTTAGACATCTTGAGGTCTTGCTCATGTTGGAGGGGCTGCCCCTCCGTGGATTAGCCAAGTCCTAGAGATAGTGAACAACTTGCCTTTGAGTATATGAAAACCAACCAATGCAGAGTCCACACCCTCACCACCTCCTTTATGGGCTTTCATACTTTGGGTCACTGTCCACCTGCCATAATCTCCTCAAGGCCAGGTATCCTACAAGTAGGGACAGCCCTGTGCCCCAGAGCCCACTGAAATTATTCAACCTAGCCAATCCTAAAGCTGCTTACCCTGCCTCTGTTTCTGTCTGTAGAAATAATGAAAAGGCTCTTGCCCCCAGGCCCTCCCTTCTCTGTTTCCTGACCAGCTCTAGTGTCTCTCCATGTGGTGCTACATAGTGTTGTGCCTCCCTCCTTTTGGGATCTGTGAGTAACAAACTATGTTTTCAATGGCAATCATCTGATCTGGTGGCCTTGCCATACCTGTATAACCATAAAATCTACATTTTAATTTTTTTCCTTTCTTTTTTTTTTTTTTTTTTTTTTTTGTTTTTTTGAGAGAGAGAGAGAGAGAGAGAGAGAGAGAGAGAGAGCAGGGGAGGGGCAGAAAGAGTATCCTACACCAGCAGCACTGAGCCTGATGCGGAGCTCAAACCCATGAACCTTGAGATCATGACGTGAGCCAAAACCAGGAGTTCGACTCTTAACCAACTGAGCCACCCATGCACCTTCCCTTCCCCTCTCCCCCTGCTGTAAAATCTACATTTTAAAACAGTAGGACCCTAGAGTAGAATACTGATCTGCAGCGGACACATTAGTGCACCCGACATGGGTCAGAAACTTCACCTGCAATAAAAATGCTTGTAATTTGACAGAATGCCCTCTTAAATGAAGACCAAGAGTGCATTCTATCCCCAGCAGGAGAATGCAGCCAAGGTTAGGACACATTGCTCAGGGCAGTTTGGCTGCCAACACCCCTGCATATATTGCTATTAATGAATGTTCTATCTGTGAGAACTGTGTGGTTATTAATCAGCCCCCAGTCTGCTCAATTACCAGGTAGCTTGTGCTTGTCTGCTGTCCCACAGCAAGGACGCGTCCTGCTCAGCATGTCAACTCTGCAGGCTCGTGAGAGGGCAGACCTAGATCATGTCCTCATTGTGCATCTTCCCTTCAAGCAAACCTCCTCCGTGAAATACAGCATCTATTTACGACACAAAGAGCAGATGACCACCCCCACCACCACCTATAGCCTTTGCTGAAGGTTCCTATTGAATAGGAAACTTAGGCAACTTTCATTTGATTTGCTAAGAAATTGTTTTAACTGCATACCCCTTCACAGGGGCCTCTCTAGCAGAGTAAATGAACTTCTTGACAGTAGTCCTCAGGATTCAGTAATAAAGGGCAGTAGCCAGGCCACCCCTGCCAAGGGCCTCCTGGCTACCAGGGCAGCACAAGGGACATGTCACAGAAGAAAGAAGATGAGAGGCAGGTTGTTCTAAAAGCATTCTCTGGAGAAACATGTGAGGGCAAGAGTGCAAACTTCCCACATGAACTTGAACTCCTCTGGTGTTGATTCTCTGGGTTTAGAAGCTCAAAGTTCCTTATTCTTTTACTTGGAAAAGTTTCTCATCACTGTTGTTTTTTGTAGCCCTTCAAAACTGGAATATTTCATATGAAAAGTCCCAATTTCCAGCTCCTACTGAAAAACCAGGAGAACTGGCCACACTGGGCTCACACTACTGGCTGGAACAGTCCGCTAAACTGAGCGGTGGGAATGGGTCCCTTTCTACAGTGCACAAGCTGTGCATTTGCTCCAGTCCCCACTGCTCCACACTGCCCTTCCCACAGTGAGGTTGAGTGCCAGCAACCAGTTACCATGCCACTTAAAGAACTATTTATCTGTACTTCTGACTGTTTCAAATGTGGGAACATGAAGAATGAGCCTACATTGTGTTTTTTCGCGGGGGGGGGGG